TTAATACAGTAATTGTTATATCATGTGGTTAAGAAATAGATTGTGTACATGAGATCAAGGTCTTGATTGAGAGTCTTGGCTGCCCTTCACAGGACCTGGGTTTGGTTCCCAGTGGGCAGCTCCCAGCCAACCCTAACTCCAGCTCCAGGGGATAAAATGCCTCTGGCCTCTGTGAGCACTGCACATGTGCACATGGCCCCACCCAGACACACATAACTTAAAATAATAAACAAATTATGGTGCATTTTTTTCAGCAAATTACTTCAAGTGGTGTCCTAATCTAATCAGGTGATCCCTGAAAGGCAGAATTCCTTCTGGTTGAATTAGGAGGGAGGGAAACAGGTACACTGTCAAGTATCTAGAGAGGGATGGTGTTCAGTTGTTCAGTGTGATGCTCTGGAGGAAACGGAGACTACAAAACATCAGTGGTCTAAACGGTACACTCATTATTTATTACACAGGAAGGGAGAACTAAGAGTGTAGATAAACCTCCCTCTTCTGAGGCCCCGTGTCACTCTACGATGGTAGGCATAGAAGCACAGCTTCTGAATGACACATTGAACATTTCAGTGTTTATGCCTGGTGGGTTGGCATTAACAGATGTTCAAAATTAGCAATTCTATCATAAATAAGTTATCCCCAGTAGTAGAGTAATTCCTTTGTTCATATGTCTGAGATTTGAAAGGTTCTTAAATATTCAACTTGACACGCCCTCTGGATAATTCACTATGTTACACCAGATTGTAGCTTCTAATAACATTAGGATTGAGAAAATGTCTCTGAGATTTTTATGCCTGCCAGAGATGCTCTTACTTAACATATGTCCATGGACTAGAAAGAACAATGACATTTAAATCAGCAATTATTTAATAAGCACCTGGTTTATACTGACTAGTAGATTACCTGCTTATATCAAAGACAGCCTCCCCACTATGGAGTGCAAGCAAAGACCATGACTAATGACGAATGGTTAGAAGTACTACCACTAAAGTCAGATACAAATACACTTCCTGTCACTTTGTGACCAAGAAGAAAGCCAAGAAGAAATAAAAGCACTGGAAGTGTTACAAATAGGCCTACAAACCTGTCATTATTTTCCTTTTTTGTTGTTTTTTTTTGTTTGATTGTTCATTTGTTTTTATTTAAATTAGAAACAAGCTTGCTTCACAACCCCTTACCCCACCCCCCTTCTGCTTACCAGGGAGAGTGAGGCCCCCCATGGGGGATCTCCAAAGTCTGTCAAATCACCCAGGGCAGGGCCTAGGCCTTTCCCCATGTGTCCAGGCTGAGAGATCATCCCTCCATGTGGAATGGGCTCCCAAAGTCCATTCCTATGTAAGGGTAAATACTGATCTACTTTCTAAGGTCCCATAGATTGCCAAGGCCTCCTCAATGACAACCACGTTCAGGGGGTCTAGATCAGTCCCATGCTGGCCTCTTAGCCATCACTCTGGGGTCCATGAGCTCCCTCTTGTTCAGGTAAGCTGTCTCTGTGGGTTTCACCAACCTGGTCTTGACTGCTTTGCTCATCACTCCTCCCTCTCTGCAACTGGTTCCCAGGAGTTCAGTTCAGTGTTTAGCTGTGGGTCTATTATTTTCAGGGGCTATAACTGTCTACTAAACTTCTAGAAGAAACTACATGGCAATTACTAAAGTTAATTGGACATAATGTGCCAAATGTATTTCAACACATGAACAATAAATGGTTGGAATATATAGTTTTAAGAGATATTCTTTATAACAACAACAAAATAAAAGATACCTATGTATAAACTTAACAAAGGATGTGTGAAAGATTATAAAACTCTAGAAAATGCATTAAAGAAGACAAAAATACAAAAAAAAACTTCATTCTGACCGATCCATCTATGTCTATAAAACAGATACAATGACAGTCAAATAGATAATGAATATTTTATGGATTGACAAGTAAAAGCTAAATTTTCTATGAAAATCAGAGACACAAATATTTTGAATATAGCATATGAATAACATTTTCCTTAGCTGATATTAACAACCTGGAATTAGTGGCACTGGCCTGTAATCCCAGCACTTGAGAGGTAGAGACAACAGGCAACAGATGTTCAAGGACAGACTGGGCTACATGAAACACTGCCTCAAATAAATAATATAAATAAAACATGTAAGTCAAATAGCCTGCCTTCCTTCACAGCATGCATATCCCGTCTTATCTCCAGTGGCTAAATGTTGCCATGAGCTCGTTTCTATCAGGTACCATTGACCCTCTTAAAATCCAGAACCTACCACAAGTAAGGATTACAAAAAAGAAAGCTATAGGAAGACTTTTCAATAGTGTGAATGTGGGGCTAGGGAAGCACTTGCCTATCATTTGTGAAGCTCTGTGTGTGTTAGATTCAAATACACACACACACACACACACACACACACACACACACACACGCACCAGCAGTGTAAGTGTCCCCTCACCAAAGTTTTTCTCTGTGCTTTCTGAAGAGAGCATTGCAGGTCATCTCAGAAGATATGATTGAAGCTTGGGAACATGTAATAAATGTACCCTGAAATCTTAAGACACCTTCTTATACACCAGGAGCCAACAAACCCTCTCTGTAAAGGAGCATGTTTTAAACATTTCAATTATTAAAAGCCAAGGAGAAATACTGAGGACATACTACCACACAGAGGACTTAAAGTGTTATTAACAATAAATATCCGGAGCTTAACTCTGTGTGGACCTGGAAAGGCAGGGTAATGTTCTTCCAGACAATCTGAGTTCACATCTCAGCGTTCATGCCAGGCAGCTCACAGCACCACCTGTAAGTGAAGCTCCAAGAGATCTAACATGCATTTCTGTCCTCTACAGAGACCACACCACACAGAGGAGAGAGAGGAGAGGGAGAGAGAGAAAAAAAGAGAGAGAAGAGAGAGACAGAGACAGAGAGAGAAAGGATCTTAAAATTGAATTGAATTTATAATCCAATTTATAATCCAAGCTAAGAGGTTGATAAATTCTCAAATGACTTTCTTCCATATGAAAAGCAAAATCTTCATGTCAAGAGATAAGATTTTGTTAGAAGTCATCATGTAAAGGGATAAAGTTTAACATCAGAACAAAAAGATAAGAGTAAGTTGAGGCGAAGGTGTTGAAGGAGATGTGACTGGATGCATAATGCTCAGCTCTAGCCAAAGGCTAAAGACAATCACAAACAGACTAAAGAGGAATTTAAGATTATACCTGAATTACCTGCTATGAACATACCAGTGCAAGATTAGAGCGGATAAACCTAGTTCACTTCCGGGAAGTCCAGTCTGAGTAAGAGAGCAAAACCCATCTTAGTAAGGAAGAATTGTGAAGAAATGTAAGTCAGGTTTGAGGTCTCTGCTGTGAGTTCTGGGAACTCGATCTGGGTCCTCTGCAAAAAAGAGTACTCTTGACTCCTAAAACCACATTTTCTTCACTATTATGTCTACCCATTGTCCCTTCTATGGCACTTGCTACATGTGCACTAGAATCCCTGTGTTTTCAGTTGCTTCCTGATGGGGGAAGTCCTGTGTATTTGTCAATAAAGCACTGTTGGCCAATAGGGAACCAAGATAGGTGGGACTAGGAGTCCAGGAGGACTCTGGGAAGGAGAAACACAGGAATCAAGATGTAATGCCATGGGGTAGGAAGCCCGGAAACTTCTCCGGTAAGAGACATACTTAGATTAACAATTATGGGGTAATTCCTTAAGTCAGAGATAGCCAGTAAGAAACAAGCAAGGCCAACAGCTTCATAATTAATATAGCCTCCTGCGTGTTTATTTGGGACTGATGCGGCTCTGGAACCAGGCTGGCGGGAAGGCTTCTCTTTACAGCTTCCCATCTTTCAGTTACATTCATATGGAGGTTTCTACACTCCTCATCTCATGCTGTCAAGTCCACCTCAAGCACCATAACATAACTAATCTTCCTAATTGATCCATCTCAAACATCTCTCTTCTATTTAAGCAACCATGTGAATGCTGAGAATCAAACCAGTCTCTTCTATTTAAGAAGAAATGCATTTCCACAGTCCTCTTCCTTTCTCCCCATCTCAACTACTTAGATAAGAAGAAATGGTATTTTTCAATCCTAGTGACCCAGTAAAGTAAATCACTTGAGAAGCTTTGAAAACCAGATTCCTGAGTTCCACACACTACAAATCAATCAGAATCTCTGAGTGGGGCCCAGACAGCAATTTTTCAAACTCTCCAAGTGAGTCTAATGGGTAGCAGAAATTGAGAGTCACTGACCTAGAACCGGATCAAATCTGAGCTGGGCCTGGAACATCACAATTACCTGAGGGCATTGCCTCCCAGTGTCCGGCTTCAGACTATTGAACAAAAACCTCTGGGGGAGGGTGATAGGCATTTCTATTTTTAAAAATCAGCAGTACAGGCATTTTTATTTAGTCAAAATTATCCTGGATTACCAGCTAGAATTTGGAAACAAATAGTTTAACAGTGTTTCCTTACATAAAATAACAGAAACTGTTCAAGTGTGGGTTTAGTTAGGTGGGTCAATGGCAAACCCTGAGGTTCTGTACTTCTATGAAGCTCACCCAGGTTGTCTGTCTTGCTGGCCTTGGAATCACACTCTCAAAAGGCCAGCACTCAAACCACAGGCCCCACAGTACTTTCCTACTTTTCTGCCTAGGGCTTGTAGCTTTTCTCGGCTTGTTTTAACTTTCTAGAATTTCTTTTTCTTTCTGAATGGTCACACACCACACAGGATCTCCTTTCTTCAACCCTTGCATTAACCTATTCTTGCTAAATCTCTCCTACAAATTACCGCAACATTTATTTTCATGCCTAACAGCTTACTTATCAATTATTTAATATTTTACATGTATCTTGCATCCTTAACTATCTTCAGGGATATCTAAAGAAGTGGTAAGTGCTTTATAAATACCGGCTAATTAAGTTATGATTATTATGTCATTATTCCCAATACTGTATATTAATTAGGAAAAACTTTCAAAGCTATTATGTCTATTAATGTTTTATATAAAAATATTTTATTTAACACAATTTGCATGCATAATTTTATAGTATTATACGAATGCAAGTAATTACTGAAGTACCAGCAAACAACCCCAAAGAATTAATATTCACAAAAATGTTCCATACAAAAAGAGTAATAATTCAACACATGTAAGCAACTAATACTGAAAACAATTTATAAGACAGGAAAGGATAGATAAAAAACAGCTTGAGAATGGTCTATCTTTGTTTCAGTGTTCCTTAAATAAGATCATTTTGATGAATGGCATGAAATGGCCAGCGTGGCAACTGTCCTGGAGCAGGTAGACACATTAGTGCACTCTATTTTAATCAATTCTGGACTCTGAGAGCGCTTGGCTGTTAAGCTGAGCAATGTTTCTATGGTGTAAGCCAGAGGCTTTCTGTAACACTTCCACTTCCATGAGGCGAAACTTGCATCTTCTCTCTCACAAGTTCTCAATTCTATAGACAACCCTTGAACTTCATTCTATCTGCAATGAGGATTTGGGGGTCACTAGTCTCCAGATTCGAGCATGATCCAGGTCACCCCGTGTGTGTTTCCATAGTTGCCCCTCATATCACTTCATAGTTGACTTTGAGAAACAGCAGAGTAGTTTACCTTGTGTGATAAAGAATGACAATATGACAACAGAAACACAGCAACCCGCACAATATTGTCACAACTCGGTTGTTACTGAGCATTAGTGAAAACCTGCCATTATACTATATAGCTACATGCTGTCTTATAGATACCACTACCTTACTCAACATACTTATTAAACAGTTCAGAGCTCCATAAATTATTTTAACAGTGCAGAGCCTCTGAAAGGCCTGAAGTTTGCTTGTGGTATTTCACAGTTTGCAGCTTGGTTTTCACTGTGACGTGGTTCAGAGGGACTGTGATCATGTGCTGTTTCTCAGCTGCAAACCTTGAGCCTCTTTTTCTACCCTTGAGAAGTGGATCCTGCAAATATGAATTTTGTTAACTAGGTTATTAAAAGTACACATGCACATAAAGACCCCCACATAAAAAGAACTACACACTAATTTCCCTTATGAACAAAAATGCAAAAATTCTCAACAAAATACTTACAAACTGAATCCAAAAGATCACCAGTGATGATCAAGTAGGCTTCATCCCATGGATGCAAAGACGATTCAAGGTACTAAAATCAACAAATGTAATCCACCATATAAGTAAACTAAAAGAAATAATACATGACCATCTCATTAGCTGCAGAAAAGACCTTTGAGAAAGCCCTGGAGAGATCAGGGAAACAAGGGACATACAAAAACATAATAAAGACAGCTTATAACAAGCCCATAAACAACATCAACTTTCTCTTTGTACTTCTCTAAGACAATTCAATAAAAATCAAGGGGATATAAATGGGAAAAGGAAACGTCAAAGCATTTTTATTTGTAGATAATAGTATACATAAGTTACACTAAAAATTCTGCTAGGAAACTCCAACAACTGATAAGCACATGGTAGCTGAATAATTAACTCAAAAAAATCAGTAGCCTTCCTATATACAAATGATAAATGGACTCAGAAAGAAATCAGGGATATAACACCTTTCATAATAGTCTCAAGTAATGTAAAATATCTTGGGGTAACTCTAAACAAGCAAGTGAAAGGCTTGTTTAAGAAAAACTTTAAGACATTGAAGAATCCGAGGAAGATATCAAAAGATAGAAATATCTCCCATGTTCATGGATCAGTAGGATTAACATAGTAAAAATGGCCACCTACTAAAAACAATCTTCAGATTCAATGCAATTCCCATTAAAATCCCAAAACAATTCTTCATAGTTCTTGAAAAGACAATTTTCAGCTTCATATGGAAACAAAAAAATAAAAAAGGATAGCTAAAACTATCTTGAATTATAAAAGAGGTGTTTGAGTTATCACCATTCTGACCTCAAATTGTGATACACAGCCACAATAATAAAAACACCATGGTGTTAGCACAAAAACAGATATTCATAGGAACACTTTTGTCAGTTTTTGTTGAGTCTCTAATTGCCCACAATGAAAAATCCATTGTCCATTTGTTTGAAAGTTAAAACCTACTTGCAGGCTTCTATCAAAACCTTTACTATTTCTAATGTTTCTTCTATATCAACAGGCTTTCATATGCACTGTCTTGTGTTCTTTTCAACCAGGGTGCTTAGGCATGTTTGCAATGTCCAGAGAGCTCTGTTGTGTTCAATAGAAAACGTTCAACCTCCAAAGGATCTTTATGTTTTTATTTCCACACGAGTAGCTCCATTTATCTAGGTCTTATTTCCTATGTTCACCTAGAAAAGGAGTTAGCAAATATACAACCAGTGCCATACTCAAACCCTTCTCTACTCTCATTAACCATCTCTAATGAATATACATGGCAGCAGAACTGACTGTGGCTTCCAAATACAAGAACACAATAAAATTAGGTCCACAAACATAAACTTCTAAAAATCAAACCCCTAACACTACAAAACAAGTACTGCAAGATGAGAAGTTAAGAGCAGAAGAATTTCTATTGATCATTGAAGTGGAAAAAGCTTTCCAACCCAGACCCAAAATCCAAAAATACTAAAAAATAAAAAAATAATTAAAAAACATAGCAACAACAAAAAAAACTCATTTTTAACCATAATGGCATTTCAAAATTGTGGCAAAAAAAGAGTCAAGTGGTCCCTTTCTCTGCTCTTGGGACTAGGGAGGCCTGGGCCTGTCTCTGACCTGCCTTCTAGTGTCCTGCAGGCAACCAGCTATGACCTGGGAACTGCACACTACATCCCAACTGGAGTCAACCAGCCCAAAGACTGCCAGCATCCAAGTCCCATTCTCCACCCACTAGACAGGCAAAATAAGCGTGGGCCTATTTCTAGACTGCGTTCTGGTGCCCTGAGCAGAACCACCAGAGACCTGCAGACTGCAGACTGCACACTGCAGACCCAGGATGCCCAAAGACAGCCAAGACACTGGTACTAGGACTGCCGCAATCCACGCAAGAGGAGATCCACCAGAGTATTGGACATGCTTGAACCCACCAGAAGGGAACGATGGTTATGTCGCCACCAGCAGAGTGAGAGACTCATTCTGCACCCACTGGAAGAAATGATGGGAAGGAGACAATGTAAAAACACTCAGCAACAGGAAAACCAATATGACAACACCAGAGTATAGAGACTCTACCAGCAAGACCTGAACACCCCAATGCAGATGAAGCAGAAGAAAATGACCTTAAAAACAACTTCATGAAAACGATAGAGGCCCTCAAAGAGGATATGAAAAAAAACTTTAAGAAATGGAAGAAAAAACAAACCAAGAAAATCCAACAAATGCAAGAAAGGGAGGAAAAGACAAAGCAAAAATTGCAAGACAAAATTCAAAAAGTGCAAGGGTTTAAAGCTGAAATAGAGACAATAAAAAAAACACAGACTGAAGGAATGATGGAAATAGAAAAGCTGGGCAAATGGTCAGGTACTACAGATGCAAGCATAACCTACAGAACACAAGAGATGGAAGAGAGAATCTCAGATGTTTGAAGATACACTAGGAGAAATACATCCATCGATCAAAGAAAATCTGAAGTCTAACAAATCGTTAACACAAAATATCCAGGAAATATGGGACATCATGAAAAGACCAAACCTAAGAATAATAAGTATAGAAAGAATGTGAAGAAAACCACTCAAAGGGGCAGAAAACATATTCAACAAAATCATAGAAAAAAAAACTTTTCCAACCTAAAGAAAGACATGCCAATGAAAGTACAAGAAGCTTACAGACCACCAAATAGAGTGGACCACAAAAAAAAGATCCCTTCGCCACATAATAATCAAGACTCCAAATATACAGCTAAGGAAAAAGGTCAAGTAACAAAGACAAACATATCAGAATTACACCTGACTTCTCCATGGAAACTCTGAAAGCCAGAAGGTGGTGATTAGATATTCTGCCAACACTAAGAAGACCACGAATGCCAAACCAGAATACTTTACCAAGCAAAGATTTCAATCATTATAGATGGAGAAAAGATATTCCATGACAAAACCAGATTCAAACAATACATATCCACTAATCCAGCCCTACAGAAAGTTCTAGAAGGAAAATTCCAACCCAAGGAAGTTCACTAAAACCAGAAAAACATAGGCAATAGATGATCCCACTTTACCAACACCCAAAAGAAAAAAGGAGTGAAAATCCACACACAATTAAACAATAACAACTCCAAAACAACAAAAATGAGCAGTCAATTCATTAATATACCTCAATATTAATGGTCTTAACTCGTCCATAAAAAGACAAAGGCTAACAGAATGGATTCAAAGACAGAACCCATCCTTCTGCTGCATACGAAAAACACACCTCAGCTTCAAAGACAGACATTACCTCAGAGTTATTAAGGGTTGGGATAAGACTTTCCAATCAAATGGACCTTAGAAGCAAGCAGTGGTAAAATCCTAATATCTAACAAATTAGACTTTAAACTAAAATCAATCAAAAGAGATGAAGGAGGTCATTTCATACTCATCACAGGAGAAATCCACCATGATGAAGTCTCAATTCTGAACATCTGTACCCCAAATACAAAGACATCCACTTTCATAAAAGAAACATTACTAAAACTCAAATCACACAAAAAACTTCACACACTTATAATGGGAGACTGCAATACTCCACTCTCACCACTAGACAGGACCACCAGACAGAAACTTAAGAAAGAAGAAAAGGAACCAATGGAAGTTATGACCCAATTGGATTTAACAGACATCTATAGAACATTCCATCCAAACACAAAAGAATATACCTTCTTCTCAGCACCACATGGAACTTTCTCAAAAATCGACGACATACTTGACAACATAGTAAACCTGAAAAGGTAAAAAAACAAAACTGGAATAACCCCCTGTATCTTATCAGACCACCATGCCTTAAAGTTAGAATTCAACAGCAACACAAATTGCAGAAACCCTACAAACTCATGGAAATTGAATAATGGGAAATTGCACCATTCCTGGGCCAAAGAAGAAATAAAAAAGAAATTAAAGACTTCCTAGAAAAAAATGAAAAAAAGACTTCCTAGAAGCCAATGAGAATGAAGACACAGCACACTCAAACTTATGGGACACTTTGAAAGCAGCACTAAGAGGAAAGTTCATAGCACTAAGTGCCCACATGAAGAAACTGGAGAATAGTCACACTAGAGAACAAACAGCACAACTGAAAGCTCTAGGACACAAAGAAGCAAACTCACCCTGGAGGAGTAGACGCCAGGAAATAATCAAATTGAGGGCTGAAATCTATATAGTAGAAACTAGGAAAACAATACAAAGAATCAATGTAATGAAGAGTTGGTTCTTTGAGAAAATCGACAAGATAGACAAACCTTTATCCAAACTTACCAAACGACAGAGTGTGAACATGCAAATTAACAAAATCAGAAATGAAAAGGGGGGATACAAAATGGACACTGAGGAAATACATAGAATTATCAGGTCATACTTTGAAAACCTGTATTCCACAAAATTCGAAATTTAAAGGAAATGGATGACTTCTGGATAGCTATCACTTGCCACAATTAAATCAAGAACAGATAAGCAATTTAAATAGATCTATAACCCCTAAGAAAATCGAAGCAGTCATCAAAAGTCTCTCGACCAATCAAAGCCCAGGTCCAAATGGCCTCAGTGCAGATTTCTACCAGAAATTTAAAGAACAGCTTATAACAATTCTCCTCAAAGTTTTCTAATCAATAGAAACAGAAGGGTCTTTGCCAAACTCTTTTTACAAGGCTTCAATAACCTTGATACTCAAGCCACACAGAGACACAACTAAGAAAAAGTACCAGTATCCCTCATGAACATTGATGCAGATATACTCTATAAAATACTGGCAAATCGAATCCAAGAACACATCAGAAAATTCATCCACCATAACCAAGCAGGTTTCATCCCAGGGATGCAGGAATGGTTCAGCGTAAGAAAATTCACCAATGTAATCCACGATATAAACAAGCTAAGAAACAAAAATCACATGATCATCTCACTAAATACTGTAAAGGGTTGAACAAAATCCAACACAACTTCATGATAAAGGTTTTGCAGAGATCTGGAATAACAGGAACATAGCTAAACATAATAAAAGCTATATATAGCAAGCCAACATCCAACAGCAAACTAAATGGACAGAAACTCAACATGATTCCTCTAAAATCAGGAACAAGACAAGGTTGTCCATTCTCTCCACACCCGTTCAATATTGTACTTGAAGTTCTAGCTAGGACAATAAGGCAACAAAAGGAGATCAAGGGGATACAAATAGGAAAGGAAGAAGTCAGACTTTCACTATTTGCCCATGATATGATAGTTTACATAAGTGATACAAAAA